ATGTGTTTTGCTATTGATTTACAAATACCTAGAAGTTCTTGCTTCCCTGTCTGAAAGGCGAAGAAGTTGGAGCAGCGTCCAAGAATTCTCCTCTGAAGGCTGTGGGTTGAAGTCCCAACGACGGCATGGGTAATTTAACCCAGTTTCGCGTGGCTTCTCGCATGTCCACATACATAATACGCAATACATCTTAAGTCTCCCTCGGTGGCACAGGGACTTGGAGTAGCATGCTGTGGCGTCATACGGGTGTAATCGAACACAGACGAGAGTGGTTTGTAAAACAGTAGATTTATTAACAATCTAGACCGTAGTCTCAATTTAACATCTACCCTGCTCACAATTAACTAAATAAATAGACCCACTACAAGGAGAGATAATTTAAGAACGGCTAACACACTGCAACATACCACCGATGTTCCCTGTATGAAGCCGCTCTACGTTGAGACCATCTACGCGTCTCACGAGTCACGACAATGAATTGCCGGCCCCTCGCCCTAGTGCACCTACACGCACAGACACGCGCTTCACCTGTCGCCGACGCTGCTAGCACAAGAAGACTGGGGCATTGTTCTCCTGGCCTTATATAGGCCCTTTTGGCTCTACCCGCCGCCCCCATTGCCTCCTCCCCAAAGTCGCTCAGGGCCCGCTACGCCCACGGAAAGTCCCAGTGCGTCATCACTCGCCCTTTGTTTAACATCCGGCGATGCTCGCCGATTTCCACGTGGTTGTCTTTTTTGAGCGTGGCACGACGCTACAATGCCAATGCGGAGGCGAAGACTGCGGGTTCGACTCCTGTGTAAGGCTCAGGTGTTTGCACCGTGTGAGTCGTTACTTTTCACACGTCTACATACAGTACAATCTCGCTATTCTAAACCACACAATCCGAAATTTTGGATAATCCGAAAAAATTCGGGACGGAGGAAAAATAAACAAAATAAATGAAATGCTTATTTGTAGTGTAAAGAAAGGATTTTATAATTACTGTAGAACTGAAAAACTAATTATTGAAATACAAATTATTGAAACGAAAGATTTTTTTTTTTTTTGCACTGGTAACTACGGTGTATATCGCATGCTCAAGTAGCAGTAATGTTCACTTAGAGAAACTTGCAAACTCGATAAGATTATTTTGCCATAAGGAACTGAATCTACTTGATGCAATGTGATTATGCGATTTGCGATTGCTACGCTATAGCGTAACGTTTCCATCTTCCGCATCACATGCTACGTTGCATTGTCTGAGAATCCTGTAGATGTATTGATGTATGTAAGGTACATTTTTTCGGGTAATCCGAATAGACCGCACAACAAAGCCGGCGCTAGGCTTGGGCAGACCGAGTCATAGCAGTCTCCAGGCATAGCTGAACCTGAATAGCACCTCGAAGTAATACAGCTGGCCCCATCCTGAAGGAATGCATAACTGCGGTTCCAGGACGGACAACTCCAGGATCACAAAGGGTTTGTGGTTTTAGTGGGTAAAAATCTCTCACTGTTGAGGAGTGCGGGCGCCTGTTCGTCTTTTGAAGATTTCCACAGTTCCCCTCGTAAAAAAAAAGACATGGGCATACCGAGCGATCGCTCAGGGGCCCGCAAGTGAAGAGATCCGATGATGAGACTGATGTGGGAAAATGGAAAAGAAATTAGATCTCAAGAAAATCATTATTGTAATTTTATAAATAGCTGTACGGTAGTCTGATATTTGATAACATGTTCTATTGACTTTTTTCCCTTCAGAAGGCAATCATAGTCATTACTGCTAATGCAGGAGTCAATGAAATGAAACAATGGACGCAAACATTAAAATAAGATCTACTGAAATTAATATTTATTATTTAACACATAAAAATATAAATATGTAGCAAGTTATTTTATTAAACACTAACTAAAGAAAACACATTTTTTCAGCGTTTTAAGCTCACATTGGAAATAGTATTATTTGTTCACTAAAAACGTTTACTTGAAACCATTATTTATAATTTATTTCCAAAAACCTATTCTTCCTTAAATGTTGCAATCTTTGTTATTTGTTGAAATAAATAAAATAACTCATAGATTCTTAATATAACTTTCACATTTTTATTTTTTGTGGGGAGGGGGAAGCTACGTTTCCACATTGCCCGGGGCCCAAACTTTTCCAGCCCACCAATGGCACCCCACCCCCCAAATAGTTTGGATTAACGGGGTTGTACTGTATACATTTTGCAAATCATGTAAAGCATCTCTTGGTGGTGCAGGGGCTTGGTGGCACCGCACGCGGAAGTGAAGGCTGTGGGTTGGAATCCTGTTTGGGCATGGCTGTATTCCTCACGTGATTGGCTTCTCGCACCAATATGTGAACCACAATTCTTTTAACTTAAATCACCTCTCCCTATCACCATACAGTCGAGCAGTGAACGTCTAAAACAAACCGGCACTGTGATCACCTTCCTGTGAAAGAAGGTGCTGAAGTCTCACCCCTCCCGTATGTCCAGAAATTAGCATGGTATTTATCAATCAATTCTCAAGACGGTAGTTACCACAACACTTGCAACTAACGCTTTTCTCTACTTTTATTTTTAGTCGCATCAACGACTAAGGTTATTAGCGACTACAATGCTTTGAATCAGGTGTTTACAGACTATTATGATTACATCCACATTACATTATCATAAGTATCATAACATACAGATCACAACATAGTATACCACCAATTAATGTGCTATTTCAGAGGACTGTTTTAGAATGCGTGAAACATTTGTATTCTATTGTGCTGTACTTTATTTTCGGGTAATTCTATTGGGTTCTAGTTATTTGTTTTGTTTATGGTTAATACCTGGCAATAAATCAACCACAGAAATTTCCTTTGCTTGACTTTTTCTTCTTCTCTTCGGGAGTTAGGAGGGTATCATATTCCCCTTGAATTTGAATTTGAATTGGTCTTATTTTACGTGGCGAGACTCGGGCCATCAGGCCCGCTCTTCCGTCTGACCACGCAAATTTCGCTACGCTTCTTTCACCAACTAGCAGAGAAAGGAGGTATTTCTTGGGCGAGAAACAGGCGATTTGAATTTGGCTCAGAGGCGTCATTTAGGCTTGAGGATCTTTTACATGCAAGTAAATCTACGAACATGGGACAGCCGGCTTTACTTCACCTCCGAAGGAAGGCGTACGAAGGATTTTTTCGCCCTTAAAAATCCACGGCTTCGATCGGGTTTGAACCCGCCAACTTGGGTACAACAGTCCAGTACGCTAACCGTTACACCATCGCCGCCGCTAACCCCCCCCCCTTCAGGTTGTCCTCTCAATTTTGGGCGGCCGAAGTCTTTTTACCACGAGGTTGGTAGTAATATATTTGTTTTGGGGCGCGACCCATTCTATTTAAGTGTTGGGATCATCGGCTTTGGCATTATTTTAGTTCATGGAAGTACTTCTGATTTTGTTCTGATTACCTTTTGAATTTTGTCTAATATAGCGAAGCCTGACTTGTCTCAGCACGTCTTAATTGCAATAACTCATCACTTTTTCATGGTTTACGACCCCCATCCGTAAAGAAGTACTGGAATAGCCATTGTTTTTAAAAAAGTTATGTCTGCATTCTTGTTTTCTTCCTTAGGTATTTTATTATTGTACGACAGATGTTTTGGAATCTTTGAATTTTTATTGAGATATTTTTAATGTATTCGCAAGATATATTTAAAATGGCTAACTTGTTTTATATTTTATTATTACTTGACATCTTAGAGGAAGCTTGTTTCTAATCGCCATTACTTCAGTTTCCTGAATTGACATTACCAAGTTCAATACTATTTGGGTAACTGATACTCGCTTTCCTGGATAATTATCTGATCGTCTGTAAATAATAATGTATTTATAGTATTCTCGACGTTTATCTCGATGTTACCTGTAATATCTATTTCCAGACATACTATTACTTCAGAATGTCGTCTTTATTAATGATAAATAAGCTTGGTGATAGACTCGATTAATTTGAATTCCTCAGACATTTTCCCAATTTAAATTCAATACATGTTTTCTGTGAAACAAGAATTTTAATGAAATGGAGTGTAATACCTCTTTCTTTCATTAACACCCATATCATATGTCGATTCAACATGTAGAATTCCTTCTCATAGCCTACGAAAGCGGTATGGTCCTTGATTAAATTCCACTCTCTCGTGTACAAGTAGGATAATAGACTTGATATTATTATATCCGTATTTATATCTCCGTTTACGTAACAAATATGCTGTTAACGCTTACTGTCGCTTGCAACCTGAACATTTTAACATGTTTGGTATTTAATGGGCCTGATTTAATACCTGAAGAGATAGAGCATTAAGCACTCTTGAAACTATTGTAACTAATTTGTAATAAAATAGAAAACTTAACATTCTGGCGTCATAACTGACTTCTCCCTCTATGGCCCTGAATTTTAATATTATATATATATATATATATATATATATATATATATATATTCTGGAGGTCTGATTTTATTACAATATTACATGTATTTTAATGGAGCACAAGAGTATTATATTAGTTGGTCTTGTGCAGTGTGCAGCTACGTTTTGGAAAACCATTTTGATTGACTTTGTTCAGAATGTTTGTTGCTGCACGCCATATCGCACTGCGTCAACTTAAGGCATTAACGTAGGTAACCCATTGACAGTTCCCAAGTCTCTTCATTTATTTAATTAAAGGACGACCTGCTTCAAGGAGACTGCCCCGAGCGGCCAAAACCCTAGTTCCACCACTTTTCCGCAAATAAGCGGATGGAAGTATCGGCACCATTTGAAATTCCCCAGTTCGACCAGACTCCGAACGATCCTCGTAAAAACTGATAGCTGCACGCGGAGAACGATGAACAAGTGCCTAGTCACACAGCCCTATCACGCCCAACATGTGATGGGTTAATGCATTCACTGATTACACCGGGGGGGAAGCTCTCCGAGTAGTACACAGAATGATAACGGACGGAAAGGAGGTCGACGCATTGATGGTTGTTTTTTTTTTTTCAGGCAATTTATTGATAAAGGCATCTTATGGACCAACCGAAGGACAATAGCTTCACAATACGTTTTTGAGAAGTCGTATATCGTTTGTTTCCTTGAAGGAATGACGAAAGATTTACTGCTTTATTTTATTGGGGTATGATATTACATATTAGATGTAAAGTGTTTTATGTATTTTTTTAATATACTCGAATACTTTTATATACGTATACTTTGTGTATGCATACTTTATATTCGTAACTAGGTATTTATGAAATAATGTAGGAAGAATTTGTTTTTAGAAGATAAAATGTGTAATAGTTGTATTTAACTATTACTTCACTATACTTTTTAAATTAATGATTTTGATTTACTTGAATTTTGCCCCCCCCCCCCCAGTAATTTCCAAAACATACAATAATTTATCACTATATATCACCAATATTATGCTTACTTAATAAAGTCTATTTTTCATGCCTTTATATTGTCCCTCTCGTGGATAGGTGGTCTCAATGATGGCTTACTTACACTTCACAGTACAAAGGATATCTTTCCGCGATGCTCCGCCTACTATTCCCATTACTGAGCGTAGGAGATGGAAAAAGGGTTAGGCCTTTTTGCCGAATTAGTTTAGATTTTATTATTTGTTATACCTAGAAGAAAATTATCGAAATGTAGAAGCATTATCCCCACTTACATAAGTGTAAGCAAAAGTGTAATTTCTCGCTGTTAATAGACTTTCACTTTTTTGGATACACTACTCTATTAATGTACATGTCAATCATTTAAACGCGAATTAAGACCACTATGACAATGCAGGAATGAGAACTTTAATTAAATCCGTTAAATATGGAAATCTAGAGAATTTCACGAAGTGATTAGGTTCAATTGCATTGTCTTTTGATTATTTTAGCTTCAGAATGGTGTTGGAAATTACATCAGCTTGGCCAGAGGTTAGTGCTTTAGCATACACCAATAAGCCATTAATACATTATGATTACCCCGAACTGAGAACAGTTTTTGTGTCTGAATTACGAAGGGCTGAAACATGATGGCCGTCAAATTGATTAGTGATTCCTGGCGCGAAATCTGCAAAGACTATTGGTCCCGTAAGTGTGGCCATACCGTCGGGACTCGAACCCCTGGACCTCCCTTTCAGAGGCACTGCAGCGACATCAGATGCTGCCCTGAGCCACCTCTCCCAGTGACTTCGCTCGTAACCTAGCTGTGTAGGTAGAGTGGAAAATCCTGTCACACCGTCGGGACTCGAACTCCTGGACCTCTCGGTCAGAGGCACTGCAGCGACATCCCTTGATGCCCTGAGCCACCTCAGCCGGTTGAAACGTCGATGTTTAGTAAGAGCGATATTTTGTTATCGATGTCGCGTCACTGCTGGTGAGCGTCAAGAGACTAGTCACGGCGCCTAACGAGGAGGCTACGGCTTAACGGGGCCCCGTGCGCCTCGCAATGAGCGTCGGCGACCTCCAGCCATTTGTACTAGGCCTGAGAGTTTAAATTTTAAATTTAAAAGTTTAAATTAAAAAAAATATTTGTTCAAATTAAAAAAAAACATGTTCAAATTTAAAAAAAACATATGTTCAAATTTAAAAAAAGTATGATCAAATTTAAAAAAAGTATGATCAAACTTAAAAAATGTATGATCAAATTTAAAAAATGTATGATCAAATTTTAAAAAATGTATGATCAAATTTTAAAAAATGTATGATCAAATTTAAAAAAGGTATGATCAAATTTATAAAAATGTATGATCAAATTTATAAAAATGTATGATCAAATTTTAAAAAATGTATGATCAAATTTTAAAAAATGTATGATCAAATTTTAAAAAAATGTATCATCAAATTTTAAAAATCTACGCTCAAATTACATCAGCCCACAATCGATATTTTTAAATATCGATGTTCTTATAACTATTTTAGTAACTTCTCGCATCTGTTGTTCACATGTTCAAGCGAAGAGGGGGCGATATGTCACGGTGGTCGTGTTAGTTAATTTGTAACTGATGTTTTGCTGATAAAACGAAGTCAAATGAATACCCGAGAAATCCAATCATGAGATTTTTTGGCCCCACTGCCAGCTGGATGATGACTATCGTTGAAAAAAACATTGAAAGCCTAAATAAGACAGAGACCGACGGAACCAGAAAGAGGGAGAGATTTAGAAAATCAACCAATAACAAAAATCGCTACGAACGACGAAATACATCATATAAAGTGATCCGTGATCCATCACGGATCCATCGAATAAAGTTGAACTATAAAGGAGATAGTGTGTAGCCGTTAAGCTCCATGAACTTCCATGCGTTCTAATTGCAAACATGAGAGTGCGTTTACACACAGAGGTCAGCAGTTCGACCTTCAGTTCATATATCTTTGGCGCAGGGACTGTAAATAGCGTTTGCGACCGCGAGATCAAAGAGAACTTGGAACATATACTAGCTGCGTTCCTGTGGCAAGTACTACCGAATCTCCGATGCGCGGGTCTAATTATAGTGATAAGTCCTTCTCTTCTTATAGGCAGGGGTTTGTTAATGTTTAAGTACGTGCTTAGGCCCAGCTTTGGATAACTCCCCACCACCTACCCAAATATTATATTAATATATTTTTATTCTATTAATAAAGTTTATAAATAAAAATATTTTATCATTATTTTTTTAATTTACATGTATGATTTCTTTTCATATTAATTTTGATATGTTATTAATATTTAAATAAAATTAAGGAGCTTCACAGTTTGGCATCGCTTCAGACCTCTCAAGATATTAATCCAAGCCAATAGGCAATTACTGTGAATTTGAAGGTAGCGAGCTCCACATTTTATGGCATCCTGTTCGGCAGGATACTGCGACACCGGATGAAGAAAGCCGTTTCGGGTCTTGATTGGAGGATTTATGTGAAGGATGTAAATGTCTCGAAACAGGTGTGGTAATGCAATCCGGCAGAGAAATAACGCTCGTATTTTTGAAGGACACTGTTCTGAACCATAGTTGTAGGATCAAATGTCGCGTAATGGCAGATGATTTCAACCCGTCATAGTGCCGCCGAAAGAAAGAGGCAAACTAGCACTTATCAAAATAAATCTAAACCATAGGTCAGCAATGCATATCTCGAGTTTGGTCGGTCGCTGCCATACCGTTTGAGGAATTTCGGGGAGAAATTTTGGTAAAATAGATTTTTTAAAACTTTGAATTAGGATTATCGCCCCAGGATGAGAGACCATCAAAAAGGATTAATGTTAACCATTCACATGACATTAAGACGATCATGATCTTTTCTTCAAGTGCACTGCAAAGAAGAATGTGTTTCAAATTCATGGTGTATTGAAGAGTTCTTATTGTAAAATGACGTCTTTAAAAAATGTATTTTATTCTTGGCAATTTCAACCAAATATTCCTTCTTACGATAATGAATGTAGGTAATTTATCAATTTTTAGTGCCATGTATTTCACAGATCTTTTGTAGATAACTATTTTAATAAGTAGATCACATGCTTCCCCGGATTGCCATCTTAAAATCTGAAGTTTATCCCATCGATTGTAGCTCCTTGCGGAAGGTAAATTCAGTTTCTTTGATCGCTGTCAATAATCAATCAGTGGTGCGTTACAAGATCAAATACTAAAAGAAAAGGAAGGCAGAAAAGGGAAAAGAAGACATGAAGAAACACAATCGAAAGAAGCAATAGAAAGACGAGAAGAAGAAATTGAAGTGAAGAAGAATACAAAAGAGAAATACAACATATATATTTTACCCGCAACAAAACTGAGAAATGAAAATTAGAAAATCGGAAGTGAAAATTGGATGAACGGAGATGGACTCACTATTTTGTAAACTGTAACCAGCAAGTGTAGTTCAAACTGTCAGACTTTTCTCCGGCGTTTAAGCATTTGAAAGGTCAACAGCATTACATCACCTAAAACAGCATCCACAGAAAGTTCAAACAAGAGAGAATGTCTGTTACGTAGAGGAATGCGACAGTAAACATTATGTAAAACGCAATGTCTCTGATACTTTGTGCTTGTAGGGACGACCTTTCCAGTGCGTCGACCTTATTCCAGAGAGAGAAATTACATAGAAATTGAGAGCAACGGCCTTAACCCCGAAACGCAAAAATAAGAACGATGTTGCGAAAACCCAATACAGTGTTTGGATGAAATACGGGTTAGAGAAGTGTTCGCGGAATTCTGTTTTAGCTACGTCACCGGGTGACGGAATTCTCTATTCAACAAAACACCCGGGACGGAATTTCGAGATAAATTGAGTATACACGTAGGCAGAGAGAATCTCTTGGAAAGTTACGGATTTTTGGTAGATAATTGTTAAACAAAATATTGAATGGCAGTTATGCGTTTGGTTAAAATCAGAAAATCTATGATCTCGGGCATCAAGGCGTTCTGAGCGCAGCGAAAATCAAACTTGTCTCATGCAACATATTGGACAAGGGTGGTAATCTTTCAGGAGAATTTGTATATATCTTTTCTTATACAATTGAAGGGCTCAGTAGGACAAGAGGCTATCCCACATCGACCTAGTTCTGGGATATTAAGGCTTTTACTAGAACGTTCATAATATAACTCAATGCTCTTGCAGGTAAGTCCATACTAAGTCTAAAGAAAATATTACAACAAAATAATAAAATTTTAAGTTATATTTAAGGCTAATAACTCAATTTAACAAAGTAATTGAGACAGACTCTTGTTCTACTAGGCCCATCAATTGTCTATCCTGTAATACACACAGATATTCGACATTACAGCAGTTTGGAGCTGCCTTTTAGTATATACTATAGTGTGCCTATTAAATAATACAAAGAAGTCCTACAGTAGAACCCATTAAAGCTGCATTTTCGTACACAATTACCAATCCAGTAATATAAAGAGATTAGTTGAACCGGCGCAAACATTCAGCACTTTGTCAATCTTTGTTTTAAAGATTAAAACTGTTTAACGGAAACCAACATTGAACGTTTCTGACAACCCGTGGTATGCAGTTGGGAGTACCTCCAGCACGTAAAAGCATCAAAAAGGGACCTCTTTTGTAGATCACGACACACACAGTTCGTATCTCACCAGATTCTCAAAAGCCTGACTTTAAGAGCTTATCGTTTCCGAATACGTGCCATATCAAGGTGTGTTGCTCCGTAGTG